TATAAACATAATTATATTAAATTTGTGACTAAATTGCCCTGCATGACTAAGTTGAAATCACGTGAGGTCCATCCTGCTACTAATCATGATGAGCAGCAGCACCAAAAGTGCTCTGTCAGTACACAAACGGATGATGATCAGTGTGTAATAACTACTGGTGATTCTTTTTTTCGTGAATAATAGTATTAATTTAGAATTGCGAAAAAACAACGTAGATAATAAGGAACTTAACATATTTTATCAAAATTTGTGTGGTATAAATAACAAAAAACTGGAGTTAGAACTATATATAAATTCCCTTACAGTAAAGTATCATTATCAATATGTCAGTGAACATTTTCTGAATGAAAAATTAGTGGAGTTGTTAGCGTTAACTGATTACAAAATAGTATCGCATAGTACAAGAGTCAATAAAAAAAGGGGTGGAACACTCATACTATGTAGCAAAGATAGAGATATAATAGATCTGCCTATAGCGAAATCTGTATATAAAATGGACAGCTTTGAAGTATGTTGTGTAAAGGACTTAGAAACTAATATTTGTATTTGCTGTTGTTATCGCACCCATAATGATAAAAACTTTGATATCTTTATTGATAGATTAGAAAAATTGTGCGAATAGTTTTTTAATAAAAAATGTGTTATATGTGGTGACTTTAACATAGACTTATTACCGGAAAATAAAAAGAGTGCATTTGTGAATCTTTTAACCAGTTTTAATTTTAGGCCAATAATTTCTGATGCTACTTTTATTAGGAATAATTCGAGCTCATGCATTGACAATATTGTTACTAACATACCTAACAAGAGTGTAATAAATTGTAACACAGATCATAATGGATTATCAGATGGACACGCGGCAATATTATGCAATATTGTGGTCCCCAATGTTAAAACTAGAAGCAAAAATAACATAGTTTATATAAAGAAAAGAGCTTTAACCAAAAATAATAAATCTGTCTTTAGACAGAATTTAATTAATTGTGATTGGAACTCAATGGGTATAAACACATTTCTAAGCAAATTCAAAGCCTTATTTGATGACTGTTTCAAGAATAAAAATAAAATAGTAAACACTAACAAGAAATCAAATTTACGATGGATTACCAAAGGAATAAAAGTACCAAGCCAAATGAAACGGTTTCTTTGCACAAGTAAAGGATCTCATAATGACGAAACAATCGTCAGGTACCGTAACGAATATATTAGAATTTACAGGAAAATAATTAGACTAACAAAAAAATATGCAGTTCAAAATGAGATCGCTCGTTCCAAAAATTTATCCAAAAGTGTATGGAACCTCATTAACAGCCATAGAAACCTAGCGGGAAAAATACGAACGCAACTAATGCTAAAGTTAGACAAAAATATTATTCACGAACCAGTTCAAATTGCTGATACCTTTGTTCACCAGTTCGATCATAGTATCAATAATGTTCCAGTTGATATTGAGATTGCACTAACATACCTTAAATGTAATATAAGTCGAGTCGAAAACGTTATGACACTAAGACCAACATCTGTAGAAGAAGTACGAAAGATCACACAAAAAATGGAGGCCAAGAAATCTTGCGGTTTTGATGATATTCCTATTACTATAATAAAGGATAATATAGATCTTTTCGCTCAACCATTGTGTTCTTTCTTTAATAAGTGCATAAAGGAGGGCATTTTCCCAGATCAACTGAAAGTTGCCAAAGTCGTACCTGTTCACAAGAAGGGCTCGATATCGGATGCCAAGATGTACAGACCTATATCTTTATTACCCACAATTTCCAAAATATTTGAAAGTGTAATTAAGTCTAGATTGGTGGCTCATCTTGTCTTAAACAGGGCTATCGATAGAGGACAATTTGGTTATCAAAACAACATCGGTACACAGGATGCAATAGACACACTGCTCAATGATGTCATTGACAAATTAAATAACAAATTTAAGGTAGCTGCACTCTTTCTCGATCTGAGCTCCGCGTTTGATACCATCAATCATGATCTTTTGGGAAAATTGCACAATTATGGGGTTCGAGGACAGGCTCTGAAACTATGTCAATCCTACTTAAGTAACAGAAAAATGTTCGTAGAAATAAAAACGGTGAACGTGATGTTAAAGTGGGTGTACCTCAAGGCTCCATTTTAGGACCCGTATTATTTATTACTTTCATAAATGATTTAAACCATTATGTACGTAGAACGACAGACTTGAAAAACTTAGTCCTCTTTGCAGATGACACTAATGCTGTTATCTCAGCCTCCGAAATAGCGGCACTAGAAATTAAAATAAACCAAATATTGGAATCCTTTAGAATATGGTTTACTATCAACGGCTTGTCGATCAACATCAACATGTGATGTTATTCCGCAATAACGTCAGTAATAACACATCTCTGCAGGTCACACTAGGTGATAAAACAGTGCAATCTGTAGAAGTAGCTAAATTCTTAGGCGTCAGGATAGACAGTAAATTAAAGTGGAAATATGAATTAGACGAGATTGAAAGTAAAATAAGCTCAGCTTGTTACATACTAAGAAGCTTACGGGATGAAGCGGATCTTAAACATCTGAAACGGGTTTATTACGCATTGGTGGAGTCAAGACTATGTTACAGTATTTTATTCTGGGGAGGGAGCTTTAAATATAATGTACACAAAGCCTTTGTTCTGCAAAAAAGGGCAATCAGAACCATGGTCCGGATAAAACAGCAAGAATCATGTCGCATGCATTTCAAAAGACTTGGAATCTTGACTGTTCCATGCCTGTATATACTGGGCTTACTTACACAATTTGCTAAAGTTATTGGCGATTATGAGACTATAGACCAAAAAACCATAAGGGAAAACACCAGGAGAAAAGACTTTCATAATAAAATCATCCCTCATATGGTTATGACTAGACACTATTCTCATTATCAATCAGTGCTTCTGTTTAATAGATTACCGATTGATTTAAAAAATATGTTATACAAGAGTAGCTTCAAAAATAGTTTAAAAAAGTTCCTACTGGATAAATCTTATTATAGTGTTGACGAGTTTCTACATGCTAATGCTATTACATAAAATTCAATGTGTTTTGAACTTTTGATAACATTTTAAGAAATAATTGAATTTTTTTTCTGTAACAAATGTAGTTATTATTTTCGTGTGATATTTAAAACTTTAAATTTTATTGATATTGGTGAGATTCGACTTGTAATTTTTATTGTAATTTTATAGTTACTGACATTTTATATAATTTAATTGTATACTAATTATTGTAATCTCATATTTTTATTGTAATTTTGTATAGTTGTAAATTTAGTAGTTAATATTTTCAATTGTACTTTTTGCATGAATTATTCAACACAATTTGTATTGTTCAGAATAAATAAATAAATAAAATAAAAATAAATAAATAAATAAAAATCACCAATATGGTCAATAAATTTTCGCCTAGGACGTCCCTTTCCGACTCTGCCATTCACTTCTGCAACATAAATTTTCTTGGTCATTTTTTCCTCATTCATTCTTTCCACATGACCAAACCACCGAAGCATTCCTTTCTAATCCTGGTCACAACATCATCTTTGAAACCAACCTCTTCTAAATGAAAAACTAGGTTTTATTTTTATTTCTGATCATATTTATATCAAGGTACACATGTGTTCACTGTGTGCACATCATGTGCATCTTACAGTTTTTTTCCAACTAAAATTGAAACTAAATTAATTAAAGTAGACACATTTGAATTAGAATTATATGAATGATACCCTTAAATTTTTTTAATGAAATAGTATTAATGTTTTTCTGGAATGCCTATTGAATTCTAAGAATTTTATTTTAATTTAAAGTAAGTACCAGCCCAGATGGTTAGCGCTCACTGTAAATATCACAGTACGCGAGCAAACTGGGTTCGATACCCACCGGCACCAATGAAATTGTTAATTGCAATTTTAAGTGCTGATTTACCACGTGCTCGGGGGTTAAGGAAAACATCATGAGGAAACCTGCATGTCTGAGAAACAGAAAAAAAAATATTTCGAAGACATGTGAAGTTCGCCAACACACATTGGGGCAGCGCGGTGGACCTACCTTGTCCTCCTTCATGTTTTGTTACTTTTTGTACGTGATGTAATTTCAAAATATATTACTGTGCAATACTACAAATAAATAGTTGGTAGGACTTCATTTGAGTTGGTAACCGCTTTTTTGCCATTGCACTCACGGCAGTAATCCTGTTTAAAAATATGAGAGCTAGTATAGTTACAGGCTGTGAGGTATTTTATCATAGTTCTCAGAGGTGATAATAAACCTGTAGTTTTCTTTGTTTGCTGTGGTTTGCAAATGTTCATGGTGTTTACTAATGTTTAAAATAAATAAAAAATTTCTGAATTTCTAGCCGCTTGGCATCAGGTGGACTCTTTGTTTGTCACTACGAGTAATACTCCTTCACTCTTTACGACCTAATAGGCCACTGCTACACATGGACCTTCAGTTTTGTTATTTTGACTTGTTATCAGGATGATACTTGTTGCCCATTTATTAATATTCCTCACCTATTTAATTTTTATTTTATTTTATAGAATAAGGGTGACAAACACAGTCCATCCGATGGTATGTGGATACTGTGGCCCATAGACATCTACATTTATCTTCAATTAAGAATCAAAATGCAGTTGTGTTGCCAGCCCTGAGGACTGAGATGGAATGCCTCATTTCCAGTAAAACGGGTCTCCTGTACTCGACACTCACCACACGAAATACAGCAGTGTCAAGCTGTTATTTTATACTGGTATTCTGTGAGAGTGTGGTTCTAGTGCCTAGTTGAGCCGACCCATTCGTGCTGCAACCACAATATAGCTGCAGTGTGGCTCTACCATGTCACGCTAATAATATCCCTCTCTTGCCTTTTACGACACCCACAAGATCCTATGGGACAGTGGATGCTCTTACTACATGGCTATTAATTACATTAATACTAATATTATTACAGACATATTTTACAACAGGATTTTTTTTACATTACAGCATTAAAAAGCCCATCACCTAGAAGATATCCAAATAACTCAAAAAATCAACCAAATAACTCTGTTAAGAAAAAGAATTGGAATTCATCTGTGAAAGTAGACAAAACTATCAGCCACACAGCAAATGGACATTTGAAGCACCACCAAGTTAGAAAAACGCTTAACTATTCTCCAAAGTTCAAAGTAAGAAGTAAACCTTTTATTCCACTATAAATTTACTTGGTTACTACTCATACTTTTTACACAATTTTATATGTGGTAGAGCCATGCTGCAGTTATATTAGTAGTATAGTTGTAGCACGAATGGGTCGGCTCGATCGGGGAAGGACTACGCTCTCACAGAATACCAGCGTGAAATAGTAGCTTAATGCTGCTGTATTTCATATGGTGAGTGTGGATAACCGGAGACCCTTTTTACTGGAAACGAGGCATTCCATCTCAGTCCTCACGGGTGACAACGCATTTGCATTTTAATTTCTAATGGAGGATAGATGTAGATGTCTATGGGCCGCGCCAACCACTTACCATCAGGTGGACTGTGTGCTCGTTTGTCACCTTATTCTATAAAAAAATACTTTAAAATATTTTAAAGCTGATTACTGCTGTGAAATGTAAGAAAATTTTAAAAAGATGTTAATCCCACATGTATATTATAAACCCTGCTAATTAATGAATGAGGGTCTGGTGACTGATAAATATTAGTATATATTTGAAAATGCTAAACGCAAATTTTAGTTGATGATGTGCAAGATGATGTTGTGACGAGAATTAATTTGTTTCGGTGGTTTGGTCATGTTATGTAAAAAGAATGAATGAGGAAAGGAGTGACAGCAAATTTATGTTGCAGAAATGAACGGAAGAGCCAGAATGGGACACTAGGTGAATGTTTATCAACCAAATTGGCGATACATTGAAAATGTGCCAAATTAAAGGTACCCTTAACCGACGAGCATGTACGCGTAGGTATTTGGATGTGGAGGAGGCGGGAGAGGTGTGTCAAAAAGTGTTGTGTCAACCCCTACCCCTCTGGGTGACAGGTGTGAGTGCTAATGTAATTATGCTTAAGTAATTATATTATGAATGCAGGTAAATTTTAACCTCTCAAACGGCAAGCGTCCATCCTCCCCAAAAAAAAAAAACCCCAAAAAACTTTAACCTAAAAAATTTTTTTTTTTTAAATTTTTTTTTACTTTTTAATTTGACCGCTTCGATATTCCGTCAAAAATCAAGATTTTTTTTAAGGTTTTTCTTTGTTTTCTTGGTCAAAGCGTGACCGCATCCACCAACAGCACTTTAACCCATAAATACTTATGTTTAGAGACTACTTTTCTATGAAGAAGTTTGACATTATAGAATCAATATGAAATTTTCTATCCTCTAGTGGAATAAAAAGTCATTTAGTCTATGGATATTTATTTATAATTTACGTTCATTTCGTATGCCATTTTCGTGTGAATGTTATTGTGTAGATTTTTAGATTTTTATAGTATTTTATTAGTGTTTCAGTATAGTGTTTTATTATAAAATTGTAATGAAAGTTCTTGTGTGAATATAATTTATCTTTTTAAGTAAAAAGTTTCAAGTAAGTAATATATAGAAATAAGTGTGATGTTTATGCTACCGACATCCTCTTGGTATGAATTTTTTTTAAATCAAAATTCAATATAATCTTTTTGTAATGAGTAACCTTTTTAGACCCCAGGATAGAGAATTTTGTATAGATTTTATAATGCCAAACTTCTTCACAGAAAAGTAGTCTCTAAATATAGGTTTTAATACATTAAAGTGCTGTGGGTGGGTGCGGTCGCATGCGACCGCTCGGTATTTGTCGGACGCATGCGACTGCATGGGATTTTTGTGGGGATTGTAGGGTTAACTGATTTTTAATGCAGAGCAACATTATCATTAGTATTGGTTCTGAACTCAACACATTCAGGAGTGGATTAGAAAATTTGTTTACGTAAAAGAGAATTATTACACTAGATATTCAATTTGACGAATACAAGGTGGTAAAGTTGGAAAATTTGTATGGCCAATTGCAATATAAACTAAAATGAGAATATCATTAATGTAAAGTTAATTAAATATGCATTATTAAGGATAACTCAAAAACTACTGGTCAGATCTTGATCAAATTTGTATGCGACCACATGAGAAGCACCAGCTTTCAAATAAAAAAAGAAAATTTAGGATGCGCAAGCAGGATTTAGAAAGGGAATGGGGTGTACAGATCAATTAATTTCGATGCCCATGATTGCGGAGAAGTTTTTGACCAAAAACCAAAAAGTTTTTTGTCATGGACTTAGAAAAGGCTTATGACTAAGAAGACAGGGATTTATTATGACAAACTCAGTGTTTGTCATAACACATCCTCGTTTGGGTTGAGTGCTGGGTTGGTACAGGCCTTAAACCTTTTTATAGGGACTCTAGTGCTTGTGTTACGATCAACGGGGTCTACTCGGACTGGTTTGGCATCCATAAAGGTGCCAGATATCAACCTATTTATGGACAGTTGCTTGGAAAATTTGAAAGTTGAAGAATGCAGATTAGGAATGAGTGAGTTAACCTTCAAATGTCTTTTGTATGCCGATGATCAAGTGATAAATGATGGTTACATTAAAGAACAAGTCATTAAAAGAAAGGTGTATGAAAGTGAACGCAAGTAAGACGAAAGGTATGGTTTTTGAAAGAAAAGAAAGTAAAAGGATAAGTGAAATAAGAATAAGAGGGGAGTTGATCGAGCAAGTAGATGAGTTTGTATATTATGTAAGGATATATGGTAAGGATGAAAACACTATATTGTGGAAAGTCAGAATGTGTCAAAAAAGGCACGTATGGCATTTCACAATGCTGTATTAGTTCCTACTAATGTATGGTAATGAAAGTTGTGTGTCGCAAAAGGAGCACGAAAGTAGAATAAACACAGTAGTAATGCAGTCATTAAGGAGTATGTTAGGGCTGAATCTGAGTGACAGGGTGAGAAATTGTGTGATAATTAAGTGAAGAGTGTGATTTGCAAGATGATGTGACGAGGATTAAGAAAGGAATGCTTCGGTGGTTTGTTCATGTAGAAAAAGTAAATGAGGAAAGAGTGACAAAGCAAATTAGTGAATGGCAGAGTCGGAAAGGATGACCTTTCCGACTCTGCCATTCACTTCTGCAACACAAATTTGCTTTGTCACTCTTTCCTCATTCATTTTTTCTACATGAACAAACCACCGAAGCATTCCTTTCTAAATCCTGGTCACAACATCATCTTGCAAACCAAACTCTTCCCTTGTCACAAAACCCCCCCCCCCCTAGTCACTCAGATTCAGCCCTAATATACTCGTTACTATGACTACTACTATTTGACTTTAGGTGAAAGTTTATCGACCAAATTGGCGATATATTGAAAATGGGCTAAATAACAGTATGTCAACATTTTTCTTAACATCTAGTATTCATGTTCAACTTATTTTTCCAGGCCCCTGTTATTGCAAGAGCTACTATAAATTCTGAGACTCCAAAATTTCGTAAACCTGAACAAAAAGTGAAGAAAACGCTTAATCTTCAAGGTATTATTATTAATCCTTATCTTCTTATTAGGCCTATCTTTGAAGAGTCTTGCTTGTTTAATCTTGCTTATAATGTGCAGTTCACGCAAAGTCCCTTAAACCTTTAGAAAACTAAACGTTGAAAGAATGAGACGAATGTGGAATCAGGAATAAGATATTTCAACCAACAGCGTAACAAAGTATGTTAAAATATACCCACGGGGTACTGTACAATTTGCCAATTCCGTAGTAAAGCAGGCCATAGAGAGTAATGCTGACTTTTAAATGATAAATTACACATTCCCTCTCTGTGTAGTTTATATCTGGCATATACATATTTATAAGCTGTGGTAGCAGATGGTTAGCGTTTGTTGTAAATTTCACAGTACGCGAGAAAACCGGGTTCGATCCCCGCCGGGACCAATGAAATTGTTAATTGCAATTTTAAATGCTTATTTACCACGTGCCCGGCGGCGAAGGAAAAGGTCGTGAGGAAACTGCATGTCTGAGACATTAAAAAAAATTTCGGCATATTAAATTCGAAAACACATTGGGGCAGTGCGGCGGACACTTCCTTGCCCTAAAAATCTCTCAGAAATGGGAGGAGGCTAGTGCCCAGCAGTGGGACCTATATGGGCTGTAACTTTAACTTTTATGTAGATGACATTTATTGGCCTTTCCCACAGTCACCACATACACCACTTAAGGGGCAAAATGGGGTTTTACTTATTTATTGTTTACTAACATTTTATTTTTTAAATTCAAAATGTGCGGTAGTACATTTGTCTGCGCCTAATGAATTTATTGAGCAATACATCAGGCTCACTATTCGACATAGTTTTACTTTTTAAGGCATTCAAAAATTCAGAAATTTATGTTTTTTTGTCTATACAAAGGTGAACTTCACTCTTACCAATATTTTTTTCTAAATTGTGAACCTGCAAATATATTAAATATTTAATCAGATTTCGTGTTTGAATTTATGTCCAATACGAGACAACATTATTTTAACTGATGTTACTGCGCACGCACCATATTCGTAAGGGTCGATTGGTAGGCAAAAAGTTTATTGACCATAAATCATATTCAATTTGGGATAATTTCAAATAAAAGTAGAAGCCTTATTTACTCGTTTTTCAAATGATGGTATATCATTATTTAGGTATAATTTAAAAATTTTCTACTCTGTAAAAAAATAACCCTGTATAATACTATATTTTCAGGAAAAAGTAGTGTTCGTGTAAACGGCGTTTCTAATATTGCTGAGACTCCAACAATAAAAAATAATCCATCATATAAAAATAGAATGACTCTTGCCAATAAAGAGAACTATTCATCAAGTCAAGCTAATATTAACACAAAAAATCACACAACACCTAAACTTAAACCACTACTCCTGAAAAAAACTTCAGCAAGTGTACCTGACACACCATTGTCAAATATGTCTTGGAGATCTAGTTGTGATGCAAGTTTTCTGCAAACTGAAAAAGCACTTCAAGATATTGACGACAAAACTAAGGCCTTAGAAGAAAAATCGGTAAAAAATATAGCAGAAGTAACACAACCAGTGTCTACACCTTTCAAAAAGTATAGGAATGTTGAAGAGTTCTTTAATAACACTAATGATTCAGAGAGTTCTGCTCTTTACAATGATAACACTATAATGTGTTTTGATAAAGTAAATGTTTGCAAGGAAACCAGTGCAAATGACGTCAGTGTGATAGTTTCTTTATGTGAATTGCTTAATAAGGCAACAGTGAATAATTGCGATAAAAAGACTTCAGAACTTGATGATTTACTAAAAGTTCAGAAACAAACTGAACAACATATTCAAATGATTGGACATGGTATTAGAACATTAACAAAAATAAAAGAGTCGCAAATGCATTCATTGCAGTGTATAAGGAAATTAATTAATGAAAAGCGTTGAATAATAATCTGAAAACGAAAACGAAATTACGTCTCATCAAACATCTAAAGAGATAAAGCAAGAAATAACGGTACTAGAAAACAGTCTTTGCAGTAGAAGGCCAAAAGAGAATTTCTTGTTTACGGAAAAAAGTTTTTCCTAAAATATCTAATTTTCCTAATGGTTTGCATACACCACACAAAAATACAAGAAACAGATCTGTAATAGCCTATTTACACTTCGACAAGTACAGTGGCGAGTTAAGTTACGAGGTAGTTGACAGTAAATGGTTAAGTGGATAGTAGTGTTCAAATGTCTTCATGGTGAGTTTAGTTAAAAAGTACAATTTTGTATTTTGAGGGTCAAACGCGAACACGTTGCGCCCTGCCAACTTATGCACTAAACTAAACTCGTTCACACGAGCGACGAGTTTAGGTGCGGATGGCGCAAGACGCGCGGAAGGGCAACACTTCTAACTTAACGTCATATGGAATTTTGCTATGGGGGAATGCGGCTGATTTGGAAACTGTTTTTGTTTTGCAGAAGAGGGTCATTACAGCTATTTACAACTTGAAACCGAGAGAGTCTCTAAGAGAAAAATTTAAAGAAATAAATATATTAACTTTGGCCACTCAGTATGTCTATGAAAATTTGATGTATGTTCACAAAAATAAAGATAATTTTAGTAAAAAAAGTGACATACACTCTGTACACACTAGGAACAAACACAAACTGGTGCTACCAGTTTCTCGACTCCATAGAGTCAGTAGTTCATTCTTGGGGCAGTGTATACGCTATTACAACAAAGTCCTAGAAAATATACAAGGTCTCACTATTACCAAGTTTAAATATTTATTTAAACAAAAACTGTATAAAAAGGGTTATCAGGGAATAGAGTGAATGGGGCACTACACTCTATTGTGAAGAACCAGAATGTATCAAAAAAGGCACGTATGGTAATTCATAATGCTGTGTTAGTCCCTACTTTAATGATGGTAGTGAAAGCTGGGTGTGGCAGAAGAAGCACGAAAGTAGAATAAATGCTGTAGAAATGCGGTCTTTAAGGAGTATGTTAGGGTTGAATCTGAATGACAGGGTGAGAAATTGCGTGATAAGAGATAAATGTGGTATGCAAGATGATGTTGTGACCAGGATTAAGAAAGGAATGCTTCGGTGGTTTGGTCGCGTAGAAAGAATGAATGAGGAAAGAGTGACAAAGCAAATTTATATGGCAGATGTGAACGGCAGAGTCGGGAAGGGACGCCCTAGGCGAAAAAGTTTATCGACCAAATTGGCGATTTTTTGAAAATGGGCCACGTTAAAAGTACCCTTAACCGACGAGCATGTATGCGTAGATATATGGATGTAAAGGAGGAGAAAGAGGTGTGTCAGGATCGTGCCAAATGGAAGTCTGTAGTCTCTGCCTACCCCTCTGGGTGACAGGCGTGAGTGTTTATGATTATGATTATGAAAAAGGGTTATTATGATATAAATGAATACATGGTTGATAATAACCCCTGGGAATGAGGTGGTCGCTTCCAAGCTGTTTCTAAAACAAATTATGTAAATATTTTGTGACCTGACCTTGACATCGTAAAATTTATTTTAAAAGAAAGTCCCGCTGGGTTTCTTGCTGGTTCTTCCCAGGACAGAGGTTTTTTTTTCTAACCAGTGGTACATTAAAAAATTGACTTTTAATAAGAATTACTTGTAATCTATATTGAATAAAAAATTATTCTATTCTATTTTAACTCGCCGAAAAATACACCGGCCGGCTATTCCGTAAAACTTAAATTATTAACTTGCTACATAACTCACTAATTGCCGTTCAAACGAGTTTTTTTTACTTAACTCGCCAGGTTCGCAAGTTAACTCGCTACTGTACTTGTCGAAGTGTAAATCGGCCTTTAGTATTTATATGAAAATGAAAGAACAGACGAACTTTTTGAACACTACTTGTGAAGCACCCATACATTGGTAGCACCAAACACGCCAGCTGTTATTTCACACAGTCTACAAATGCAGTTGGACAAATTATATAGCCGTAATTAGGAAATTTACTTATTGTGAATTTATTGATGTAGGAATTGTAAAAGACTAACCGGGCAAAGCTAACGCCATATATATAACATACATGGCTAGGAATTGTAAAAGACTAACCGGGTAAAACTAACGCCATATATATAACATACATGGCTAGGAATTGTAAAAGACTAACCGGGTAAAACTAACGCCATATATATAACATACATGGCTAGGAATTGTAAAAGACTAACCGGGTAAAACTAACGCCATATATATAACATACATGGCTAGGAATTGTAAAAGACTAACCGGGCAAAGCTAATGCCAAATATATAACATACACGGCTCCGTGGCGCAGTAGCTTAGCAATGAGTTACGCTAAGGGCCGCGGGTTCGAATCCCGCACGGAACAAGTATTTGTATGGCCTACATGTAATTGTTCGGGGTCTGGATGTTTGTAATTGTGCAATTTATGTATGTAAACTGCCTGCTCGATACAGGAGAAAGTCCTAGTGCGGGGGTAAAGTTTTTTTTTTAAGATAAAAAATACATTATATTTAACCTTAATAAAATTATGTACAAATAAATAATTACATACTTTAGTGGACTTACGTAAATTAAATTAACTTTAGTCGGAGAGTGCTAATACTAGTTTGTGCTACTGGCTGGCACATATAGCTGTAAAATAATTAGTCTTTTTTGTCATAGTATTTTTATTTTAACATTTGAAAATTTTAAAATAAAAATACTATAAAATAACCTTTTTTAGAATTTAATATACAAAAGTTGTAAAATAATATTCATATTATATATTGTAAAATAGATTTCTAAATTTATGATAAAGGAGTAACATAAGTCGCTATTATCTGTATATTATTCGCAATGATATTCGTTTTATATTTTCCTATTAAGTTATAAATTTGTGGGAAAATACAAAATACTCTTTTTACGTTTCGGTTTTCAATAGGATTAAAATTTCAGATTGTATATGACGGAAATATTTTGCAAGGGTGTTTATAATTTAATAAAAAAGTAACTAATAGAATCAGGCGTTACTTTGCGGAAATCCATTATAATAAAGATATTAATAGTTATTTTGTAACCATCCGCTCAATTATATATATATATATATATATATATATATATATATATAAATATAAACACGACATAACGCCTTTGAGAAAGTGGTTTGTTCAGAATCGTTTACTGAATCTATTCCTATCATTTTTAATATAGATAATTTTTTATCCCAAAAATAATTAAAACTACGTAAATTACAGTCACACTAAATCTGTACAGTCAAAACAAACTGAAATGGACCGTAACTTAAGGCAATAAGATTTTTAAGAGTGCAGTTTTATTTGTATTATTACTAATTCTGTCATTCAATAAAAATAAAGAAAATGAACTTTATTTCAAGCCCGTTAAAGTCTTTGCGTTCATGGATTTGTACTGTGACCACAACATTCTTCCGGAATTAGTATAACTAATTTGATAAATAATCAGTGCATATTAATGTTTAACTAAAAATTCAGTGTATGTATTATAACTATAACATACTAATTGGGGTGTCTAAGGGTGTGCGTTAATTACGTTACATATTGTATATATACATATATATATATATATATATATGTCCTACCTAGTTTGAAGAGCACCTCCCGCCCACCCTCAATTGCGTGCACTAATCCCAGCACCACTACTCCCAACACCACTATTCTAGGAAAGACACACCATTGACAATAATATGACACGTGTTTAAAATAAAATTGGTTATTAAAATTATTATAATTATGAATCAGAAGTACCTATGTATTGGAAGTGTTAAAAATTAATTAACGAACACTAACCGCATCACAAGTCCACTGTTGCACATAGACCTCAACTAAACAATGCAACTAAGCAGGGCGTTGCGCAGCCTGCCTCCACAGATTTTCTGCATCTCTTACCAGGTCGTCACTCCATGTAGTGGGGGGAAGTACCTATGTATTGGACGCCTTGCACTTCGTGTACCTGATTTTTTGATTTGAACTTTCTTTCGCATCGGTTGTATGTTCTTCGAGCTATATGGCTGCTCATTGCCACTACGACTTACTAAGTGGACTTGTGAAGGGATGTAATGATAATACTGATGATTACGATCAAAGTTTTATTTATCGCCTAAAAATGTAATCGTACATGACCCACATGAAAGAACATTGATTTTCTAAGCTACAATTTAAAAGGATAAAGGTATTGACAAAAATGTCAATGCCTTGAACGTTGTTGTTGTGTAGTTACCGCGAACATCTAAACACTAACATTTACATACCCGTCGAGTCAACTTTTTTTTAAAGGGGAAATACCTACCGCCGTCCACTACCATCTCGAGACGGCGAGGCCGGCTCTGCTATTTCTGACCGAGACACAGGTGTTCTCTCCGGCTGATGTCTCCTACCCGGGTTACAAACTGGAACACTCCTTTGTGCCTCGGGCTGGAGTTTGCGTTTACGTCAGAGAGGACATCTGTTCTCGACGCCTCGGCAGGCTTTGGCAGGCAAGGTTCGGACCTGTCCATCCTTTGGCTACGCGTAGACAGCGAAGACCATCCGCGCGTCTACTATAATAATGCCGAAACAGACCGACTCTTCGACCACGTCCAAATGACTACAGATTCGTTGCTACAGCAGATCCCCTCTGCAGAGATCGTGATCCTCGGCGACTTTAACGCCAATCACGCCGAGTGGCTTGGTTCACGCTTAACCGAGATCTGTTCATGATTTTGCCTTGGCATATGGTCTGACGCAACTGGTTACTTCGCCTACGCGGATTCCAGATGTGGAGGATCATGCACCTTCTCTGTTAGACCTTCTGCTGACCTCTCACCCGGACGGATACCAAATTTCCGTCGACGCCTCTTAAGGCTCCTCGGACCATTGTCTTGTCCGGAGTGTGGTGCCACTCACGCTGAAATCGCAGTTGCATTCTGCAGGCTGCCGCCGCGTTTGGCACTATAG